CACACACACACACACACACACACACACACCACATCACCCACCCCCTGCTGTTTATGTTCTGTATATTTCTTATAAGTGTGACTTGAGAAAGCAGAATTTAAAAAAATATGTTCAGGAACTTGTTAGTGAAGAAACACAGATGTCAAACCAACACGTGTGCAAATTCAGCAAATACAGCAGTCTTGATAAACCACAGGTTTAGTTTTCAGGACGGAGGGCAGAGAAGTGATGCACACACAGAGGAGAAGGTGTTGTGACTCATGAACAGGATGTTCTATCATCAGTTTATGTTTAGCAAAAGCAGAAATGCAGCAAGAGCCCTGAGAAAAAAAAAAGGTTGAGGTGACAAACCTGTGGTGCTTTGAGCAAAATGTCAACGCAACTTGCTGCAATATTTACCAAAGGACTACAGTAGGCATGCATACTTGGGCTAATTTAATATATACTGTATATAAAAAAATGAGAAATATTATAAGTTTATTGAGTTTATATTATTTCTAAATGCACAGATTTAGAAGGTGAAGACTTCTGCATTATTACATTGTAGATAAAGGATCTTAAAAAATAAAAGAGGTCTGCTCAAACAAGCAATTTTTAGTCATTTCCATGCACTCATTTTGCTAGCAAATTACTCTGAGCCATGTTATTAAAACCGGTGGCAGAGTAAGGATTTACTGTCACATAGCAAATACTTTAYCTGAGTGGCACAGTGATGAGAGCTGATTCTTCAAAGAAGGTTGCAGGTCCGCAACCTGGCTGGGGCCTTCCTGTTTTCTCTCTGCAAATWCTTACAGAATACTGTGCAAGTATTTGCAGAGTAGCGCAAGTACAGTACTTTGAAAAWTTTGTTAAAAGCGCAAATAAATAAATAGACGACATACAATAACACCAAGACTAAATCTTCCCCTCACCATCAATAGTAATGAATAATTGAAGAGAAATGAAAGTTGGGAGAAATTATAATTTAAAAAAGGTTGCCTTTGCAGCGRATGGCTCTGTAGCATTTCCCCGAAGGTAATAATTCAYAATCTGCAAACAGATCATGAGACGGGTCCTGTCAGATCTTTTATGCCTGTTTAATTACAGTGCCCTCATTGACATAGACTATTCCTCAAAACCCAACCTCAAAATGTTGGAACAAACTAAATGGACAAATTACAAACTGGACAAATGTTACTTAATAAAAATGGTAATTCCACTGAGTTTTAATAAATCAGATAAACAGTTATTACAGTTTGTAAGTTCACTTGTGCAGCACTATTAAAATTTCACAGTAATCACTTAAAAATTAAGTGAAATTGAACCCTTATTCACAAATATTCACGGTAATAGTCTTCTGATTGTTCTTTTTCTTCTGCTTCTCCAGTGTTTTCCTTGTCAGATGTGCCCTTCTCCTTTCTTCTTGTTCCCTGAAAAACGAAGCACAGATTTTTCTGCGAAGCCGTCTGGCGTAAACCTCCAGGAACACCAGACTGTAGCTCATCAGCCAGAGGCATCCCAGCAGGACCGCGAATCCCCGGTTTGGAGCCGACGTCGTTACGTTGCAGAGTGATGGCTCGGGGTTAAAGGTCCAGCTGTAATCCCTGTGGAAGTTTGTCAKCTCCCGTGTGATGCACGCTTGAGAGAAGATACACGACGCAGGAGAGAACCACTTAACCTGCAGTGAAAAACACAAGAATAAACTCRTGAAAGCTTCAAAACACGAGGAGGAAACGCTAATACATGGGAACTGCKTGCCGYCTCACCTCATAATTAACAGTTATGCTTGCTGTTGTTGGTGGAAAATCCATCACCCAGGGTACAATCATCTGAACTATATAATAAACAATGTGATCCAAAACTATGATTAAAGTTATTACTAGGAAGTATATTGTGACCACAACCAGTGTTATGAAACAAGAAGCGCACTCCTGACTTGTTATTTTGCAGATTGGGACGCTGATTTTTTTACCATCTTCAGAAGTTTTCTGTCGGAGAGCTTTAGAAATGAAGCCATTATCAAAATGAACTGAWGTCAGGTAGGATTTTAGGTAAAGTGCAGATTCAACAATTAGCAATGCAACAAAAATGGCTGCAAGGATCCTATTGGACAACAGTTTGTATTCTTTCAGCAGGTTCTTGGCGTGTGAGAAGTTGGCCTCTATCTGACCRATTAGATGGCCAAACAGGCTTTTGACCTCTGACACATCAATGTGTGTGTAATGATCCAAATGTCTTAAATGGCTGACGATGCTCAGGTCGTCCCTCCTGGCTTTGATGGCTTCCTCAATGAGGTCTYTCTTAGCCCCGTTGAAGGGTTCGGTTGAGTTTAACAAAGTCCTGGTAAAGCCTTCGGCGGTGCAYTTCAGGATGCGCACAGCCGCCTCAACGTTCACAGTAATGTTCGGGATGACGTTCAACACTAAAACCATGAAAGAAGTCGAGATGAGGAGTTTGCGTCCCTGTTTGGTGCACACGGTGGGCAGGATCATTGTCAGCACACATCGGAGGGGGTGGCACAGGAAGGAGACCAGGAGCATCGACACGCTGTAGAAGCAGGTGGTTTGAACAGATGCTGCGCGCTCATACTTCAGAGTCTCTGACAGCCACTGGTGCAGCAGACTGCCGGTGACGACAGCAAACGTAAAGCAGAGGGACAGCAGACTGAGGATTTCTCTGCCCAAAGGAGCAGGTTTGGAGTAAACATCCCAGAGGTAAAACAGGAGAGAATTTAGGGTCCGTTTGAGAGACTGTGCTCTGGTCCTGAGGGGACAAAAGAAAACATGGTCATTAAGATGCACTGATACATTACTGCTAAATGTGTAGGGAATTCCCATTTAAATGGGTATTAAATGGGAATACACATTTAATGAAGAAACTTCGTACAGTTTACTGTCTGAGTTCACCTACAAGAAAAAAATGCAACCTCTGAGTGCTTCTTCTCTTTAAAAAATCAATCATTGTTTTGATTCAAAACACTAAAGCTGAATAAACTGAAGACTAACCACTCTAAACCCAAACATGTTAAATATCACAGATCTAATTACTCAGCCATGGTCTCACTGTTTGTTCATCGCCACCAAACTCCATTCAACTTTCGCCTCTTTTTATTTTATTCTTCCTGTAGATTTTTTACTGCTTCTCAAATAAATTTGAACCTAAATCAGAATGTTTTGGGGGCAGGGGGGGGGGGGGGGGGGGGTTATATTTTTTTAATGTGAGAGAAAGTTGAGACTGATGGCGGATTGCAGTGGTATTTTTTCCACATGGTTACCATGTTTCCTGCTGCCTGCAGCTGCAACATGCTTTAAATAGGACAACTATTTTCAGAAACTAAAGTGGTGTATGCTGTTTATCATARCTTTGGTTTTACTCGGCCTGACAACATGATTTAAAAACTGCTGTGTATTGAAAACCACCATGTGAATTGATCATGTTATCACACACTATACTACTGTCATGCATCAGGTTGTAAGGTCTCCTCATTTCCACACAGCATTCCTAAATAGCTGAACAAATGTGTTGTACACACAAAATATTTTACATTAGCAAAAAGGCATTTACCTGAACAGTACTGTTTTCCTCCACAAAGAAATGGAGGTTGAAATCATGTGACAGATGACATCATGCCGACTTCAAGTATAGTGCACTAACAAAATATTATGGTTGTCTTTGCTTGAAACATTATAATTTAAAAAAAGGATAAATATTTTGGCTTTGTTTAATTC